TTGATAATTATATAAAGAAAGATATATTTTTATTATTCCAAATAGGTATTACATAAATTTGAAGACTAAATCACAGTGTAGCGAGGATGGAGATGAAACACATAATGTTAGAAGAAAATTTTATCTTCCAAATTCACCAGCTGGGAAAGGAGCTAAATGGGAATGGGCTGGTGATACAGATGACTGGCATACATATGATATGGAAGTACAATGTCTCATAGAAGAAGCATGGGCAAGGGTAAGCATAAAAATACTTCTTAAAATTGTAATCATAAGTTAATTTTAATGATAATGTTCATGTAATTATTTTATTTTAGGGTGATAAAACCATTGATATTTCTAAAACGTATTTAGGTTTTCCTTATATTATTAATTTTTGTAATTTAACTCAAGTACGTTGTTGCACTGGATATGTAAGACCAATAAGACGTATACAACAAGCACCTTATCCTTTAGTTAAAGTTGCTTTGGAAGAGTTACAAATTATTTCTGAGAAAAAAGCTACAGTTGCAACTGTTAAGAATTCAACAACAAAAGTAACACATAAGAAATCATCTACAGGAAATACAAAAAAGAGTAATAAAAAGGTAGGTAAATATAAATATAAACATACTTTTATAATGTTAATTACTGTTTATAATGTTTATAATATTACTAGAGTAAAAATGGAGATACTGGTCCATCAAATATAGCTCGTGTTATTCTGAGTAATTTTAACATATTTAGTAATAAACATGGAGTAGAAAATAATAATGCAGTTGCAACTATTGAATCTGGACAAAAAAGAAAAACTTGGGATAGTGTATTGGATGTAGATTCTAGTAGTACAAAAAGTGGAAGAAGACCAAGTGTTGATACTGTTTCTACTTATTTGAGTCATGAAAATCCAATAGATTTATTGGATAGCAGTGTAGGAAGTGATGATGGATTTAAAGAAACTATTTTGGGTACTTTATTACTATTTTTTTTAATCAATTTCAAACATTTGTGTAACACATTGGAAATGAATCTGTTTTGTTTAGATGTAGATGCAGAGTCAGATGTTATTTCTCAATATGTAAAAGTGGTAGAAAGCGATGATTCTGATTCTTGTCCTGTGTGTCTTGGTATGCCTGAGCCACTAACAGTAGAATTGACTCGTTGCAAACATAGGTTACATTTAGCATGTTTGAATGCTATGCTCAGTTGTCAGCAGCCTCCTATGTACATGCAGTGTCCTGTTTGTCGTTTAATTTATGGAGAAAAAAGAGGAAACCAACCTCCTGGAACTATGAATTGGACAAGAATACCACGTGCTCTGCCTGGTTTTCCAAATACAAATACAATTCAAATAACTTATGAGTAAGTAAATCAGATACTATTTTTTTTTTTTTTTAATAAAGTTCTTTATAATTTATTTTATCGAAGTACACACTTACTGAATATTGTTTTTAATATTAATCTGTGTCTAAATATGTATAAATACTTAAATATATACAGTGAGTATAAAAAGTATTCGTACAGCGAAAAATTCCAAAGGAAACTTTGTATAACTTGGTTTATTAATAAACTTTCTTAATACAAATAGTTTATAGACATTTCTATAAATGTTGAACATCTGGATAGTAAGAGCTCTAATGTAGACAATTGTCAATAAAAAAAATACATGTTAAATATTTTTTGAGAACTACGTTGCCGCAAGGTCTCATCAAAATCAGTGACTATTTCTTTGAGATAGTCCTTTTTAATAAATTCTCTGAAGAATTTGAATTAGATAATTTTTAAATAAATAATTTAATGTTTATATAATTTGAGAACTACTTGCTTTATTAAGTAAAAATACTTAATTTCAGTATTCCGTCAGGAATTCAAGGAAATGAACATCCCAATCCTGGACAAGCCTATTATGCTGTAGGTTTTCCACGAGTATGTTACCTTCCAGATAATAATCTAGGTCGTAGAGTTTTGAGACTGTTGCAAATTGCATTTGAGCGGAGACTGATATTTACAATCGGGCGATCAGTAACTACTGGACGAGAGGATGTAGTAACATGGAATGAAATTCACCATAAAACTGAATTGGGACCATCAACAACTGGTCATGGTTATCCTGACACAAGTTACCTCGAAAGAACATTAGCTGAATTGGCAGCTCAAGGTGTAACAGATGGGCAGCCATCCCCTACATTGTATCAGGAATTGCATTGAAACAATTTTTATTTAGTATTTCATATACATTCAAGTGTTAGTATCCATATTGAATATACAGCAAAGTTGTATAAATTAATTTAACGGCGTGGATTCTAAGCCATATTCAATTAATATCGTCTTACTGTACATATTATTCCGCTATAATCTTTTTCATAACTACTAAGAAAACTAGGTGATATAAAAGTCAGTTTTGAAAGCGTAAGTTTGCTTAATAATTCGAATTTACTTTTATTTTTTTATGTGCAATATAATTATGACGCGCATGATGTATATTGAATTTTGAAAAATTTCACATGTAACGTATTTGCTAATAATTGGAATATTAATAATATTCTCTTTTGTGTTAAAAAATAAAGAGCAAAACACAAAAAATAAGAGTTAAAAAAGAATTAAAGAAACAAATGATAATTATTTAAAATTACAAAAAGTGTGAAGGAAAGATATGCAAAATACAAAACAATATTTGAACTCTAATTATTATCAAATGTGAATGTTGTTTTTATCATTATGCGTCTTTATGCAGAATAAAAAGGAAAAATATTATCAAAATTTTCTTAATGGGTATTATACAGGATCTCCCCAAAATTGTAGTACAATCAGTCGGTTGGCGATTTTACATACAAAAATAAGTCGAAAAAAATGTGTTTGAAGATCTGTCAGGTACCCATGTATTAACTACAAGTTATTATTTGTGAAACCATTGAAATTAAATACAGAATAAAAGAAAATACTAGTATAGATCGACATCGTGGAAATAAGATAATAGCAATAACAGGAAATAAATCGTGACATTGTTCATGTTTAATAAACAAATATGAGCAAAAACAGAAGTTTCATACTTCGAAACTTGCAATTAATACACGGGTACCTGACGTATTTTCAAATTAATTTTTTTCGAAAACGAAACCTTAAATAAAAAATATTATTCTTTTCTTGTTTTTTACTTATTTTTGCATGTAGAATCACCACCCGGTCGGTTGTACCACGATTTTTGAGATAGCATGCATATTACATATACAGGAATATATGCTAATATATAATAATTAAACTATAGAACCTAAATAGTTGCTCAGTCTGTCTAAGCTGCTATAATACAGGACTATTAGTTAATGTTATACTACATGAAGTCTGTTCAAAATTATTTTGTCACATGACTCCATTAAAATATAGATTAAAATATAGATCTGCACAATAGTTGAGGTTGAAGATATGAATGGGTTTTCATAAAATTTGTTGAAAATATAACTTACAGAAATATATGTTAATGCTTTGCCTTTAGTTACACGACATAGAAGGGCAAACCCATGTAAACGACTTCAACTATGAACAACATTGCTTTAAGTATGTTGATTATATAAAACAAACTGTATAAACTTTACTTCTATAACCTTCATACCTTGTTTGAATATTTTTGTTTTAATTTTGTTGATTGTTTTATATTTTTAATCCATTTTTAAAAATAATTTCTCTAATTTTTAACAACGTTAACATGAAAGAGATAAATATATATAAAGAAAAGTGAAAAGATTGCGTTAAGATAAAATTATCGTATATGATGTATAGTAGTATAGCTTTTATGAGTAGAATATTTTAAAATAATTATTAAATCATCATGATTGTAGATATTTAGTGTTATAAAAAAATATGTATC